TGTTTAAAGCCAGGCAAAGTTTTTTTTAAAAAATATACTGGGTGATTTTTTTATTGGACAGTTTCCTTATAATGGAAACCAACACTAGACTCTTAAACTTCCTCTCTCCCAAAGGAAATAAACCAGGCCTCCTGCAGATGAGGTGGGAGGGAAAACATGCTCACAGCTCTCACTGGGACCTGAGATAGGAGCTGCCCATGCTACCTCTCAGACTCTATTAGGACCCCACTGCCTAAGTCTAACTCCTGGGTGTGGCTGAAATGCACCTGGCCTGGGAGTTTGAATTCCAGCTTCGCCACTAGTCTGCTGCTCTATGTTTCATGGAAAATCACCCAGCCTCTCTGGTAAAGACACCTACCAAGTCAAAGATGAGTAGGGGCTCACACGGTCCAATTAGAAGGAAAGAATTGTAATGTATGGCAGTGCGTTTGGGTACTGGCTAACTTGTTTTTTTACCCCATTATACTAGGACTGGAGATACACAGTGTTGGGCAAAATGGTTCCAGCCCCTATCCTTCCGCAGTTTATAGCCAGCTACTATCAGGTATCTACGACAAAGGCCTATGAAGGTTATAACCACACCTTCTTGCTCAACACTCTGGCCCTTGTGCCTACCACAAAGCTAGCCTCTTAGCTTGGGCTCAATAAGTAAATATGTGCAGGTTTCGGTCAGGTTGGGCAGAAGAGGAGAAACTGAACTCTTCCTGGAGAGATTAGGAAAAGTTGTTGACCTGAGTCACAAAGAATGAGCCAGAATCAGACAGGTAGATGAGGAAAAGAGGGGCTTATAATCTAGTCCAGGGGTTGCCTGACTCTGGCCCATTGGCCAAATCTGGTCCACCATCTGTTTTTATAAATAAAGTTTTACTGGAATGCAGTCATGTCCATTCATTTCTGGATTGTCTGGGGCTGTTTTCATATTATAAGAGCAGAGTTGATTAATTGTGACAGACGCTGTGTAGCCTGCAAATCCTAAAATATTCACTATCTGGCCTCTTAAAGAGAAAGTTTGCTGTCCACTGGTCAAGACAAAGGAGTCAGGCCAAGGAAAGGCCTAGAGATCTCTTCCTTGCTTGGAATTAGAACTGGCCACCAAATGACTGGGCATGGTGACTCACACTTGTAATCCCAGCACTTTGGTAGGCCGAGGTGGGTGGATCACTTGAGGTCAGGAGTTCAAGACCAGTCTGGCCAACACAGTGAAACCCCGTCTCTACTAAAAATATAAAAATTAGCTTGATGTGGTGGCATGCACCTGTAATCCCAGCTACTGGGGAGGCTAAGGCAGGAGAATCGCTTAAGCCTGGGAGTCAGAGGTTGCAGTAAGCCAAAATCGCACCACTGTACTCCAGCCTGGGTTATAGAGTGAGATTCTGTCTTTAAAAAAAAAAAAAAATAGTGGCTACCTACACAAATTGTGTGGCCCAATGCAGAATGAAAACAGGGACCTCTTTTTAAAAACTGATTACAAATTTCAAATTTCAGCAATAGAGCCTTAAACCAACTGCAGAGCCCTTGTAGGCACAGGTCTTTGTGCAGCTCTTGCAGGCTCTGGGCAGAGTTAGAAGCTGCGCTCATGCTCTTCCCTGGGAAACCACACTGGGAGTAGATCTGAGACGCAGTCCTGACCCAGGGATCTAAGCTGGGGCTTGGAGTCTCTAATCCCCTAACCAAACCTCCAGAAAGACCAGCTCTGATCTACTCCCCAAGCCAAGGGGATAGAGAACTGGCCTTCCCGTCTCAACTCTCCCGTCCCATTCATGGAGCCTGGCTGTGATGAGAAGCAGAGGTGGGCCCAGCTCCCTCTCCCACCAGGAGTGTCTTGGTGATCAGACATGTGGCAGCCATAAGAAGACACATGGCAGTTTAATGGGACCTTCTCTCTGACAATGCTGTTCTTCCCATGCTCACCTGGAACTGTCTGATGGGGGAGCAGTAGGGAAAGGGATCTCACTTCACCCAACTATGGGACAGCAAAATGAGAACAAGGGCTCACGGAAACTTCCCATGCTTGGTGTCTGCTCAACCCCAACCCCTTAGATTCTTGGACTAAAGTCTGTGTCATCTGTCCTTCCATTGCACATCTTCCCTAGACCCTCCATCTAGACCTGCTCCTACCTTCTCCATCCTTCTCTGTGCCCGAGGATGACCTGTACGGGTGGTTTCCATGTTTGCTAACTTCCAGTTGGGTTTGGCCAATGGGAGACACCTGCAGGAGACAGGAAGCCAGATGGAAATGTGGCCAAATATTCCCCAGCTCCTCCCAGTGGGAACCCTGGGTCCCTCCACCCAAGCTCTTGGGTGGAATTCTTCTTCAGCTGCTGCTCTCTTGGATTCAGGGAGACCCCCCACTCCTTTGCCCCCTTCCCTTTTCTCCTAAGAGTACTTCAGTCCCCACTGGTCCCTGTCCCAGTGCTGCCTCATGCCTCATTGGAATTACTCAGCCCTGCCCGTATCTTTGTAAATCATCTTGGAATTAAGGTCTCCTTATTTATGATCTTTTCATGGAACATCTGTTTCCTGCTGGACCCTACCTGACACAACATTCTTCCCCCAACCCAAATGGCTTCAGTCAAATAGAGCCTTGCAACAGTCAGATGGAAGTTGCATCAACACTTCCTGTTGCACAGGTGGGTGCTGAACAGGGCTCCTCCTTGGCAAGAAGTTGACCACTGCTCTGGCTGAGCAATTCTAATGCTTCCCCTGTTGTCCACTGGGATTACTTGATAGTATTCAGTGGGTGGCTGGTCAGGTCTGCAGGGGTCAAGGCAGCTTTACCCCCCTGCAGGCATGGCTAGAAGGCTGGCTTAGCAAGGTCCCCCTCCTTCTCCAGGTGATCTCTCTAACGCCACAATCAGACGTCTTAAGCAGCAGCTCAAGATGTGCTTGTTCCCAGAGCCCTGAATGAAAGCTTCCAGCCCTTAAGGCTTGGGCTTGGAAATTGACACACGTCTGTGATGTCCGCCAATTCCACTGGTCAAAACAGTCTCCAAACAGATCTAGTTTCAGAGGGAGAGATCATAGACCACCCCAGCCACCCGCCAACCCACCATCTCTCAGTGCAGGAATCTTAAAGAATATGTGCCATCTTTCATCCACACATTCCTTCCTCTCATTATCATCACCTTCTTCATTTGCTGAGAGCTGGGGGCACAAGCCATTGTCTGGGGCCAAATCTATCCTGCAGATTGTGTTAATTTCATCTACACTGGGGTTTCTGTTTTTAATTAGATGACTTGGACCTGCATAGACTCCCTGTCTCAACACTGGTCCCAGCCTTCCCACAGCCTGCCAGGGGCTCACAACTTGGCTCCCGGGCCATCACTTGGAGGTCCTGGATTAGCAGGTGCAAGGGACAAGTTGGATGGGTCACACAAAACGACACTCATACATACAAATTATCAGGACTTTTATATAACTCAGCTCTCCCAGTCCGATTTCTGTAAATAAATGCTGGTTCAACAAATGTGTAGACCTTTTTTGAAGTCTCCAAGATGGTGTTGGGGAAAGAGCCGGGACTGAGAGACCCAGGGACCCATGTTCTTGTCACCCTACTGCCCGGTGGCCTTGAATAGATCACCTGGCCTCCCTGGGCTGTTGCTTCTGCGTTGTGCAGAACCAAGAAAAGATGTCACCCCTGCATCGTGCAGGACAAAGGCTGGGGTCACCTCAAATTTGAGGCCCAGCTCCTGCCTCTTGTCTTGGGCAGATCACTCCATCACTCTGGCCTCGGTTGCCTCCTTTGAAGATTGGGGCCACAACGTGAATCCCGCGGGGCTGTTGCAAGGATGAAATACAGTGCCAGGCACAGAGCACTTGGTCCTGGCAGGCCCTCCTGTCCACTCTGATGCTCTGTGCCTGCGTGGGGCCTTTGGAGGCCAAACTCCCCCGCCCTAGCTGAGACTCACTCACCTCTGTGTCTAGCACAGGGGCTGACACATAGTAGGTGCTCAGGGAAGCCTTGTTGGATTGAACTGACGCTTTGTCAAACAAAGTAGTAGCAAGAGAAATGAAAACATGTGATCTTTTTTTTTTTAAAAAAAGGAAACTTGTATAAGAATGTTCTTAGCAGCTTGAAGCATAGCAGAGCCCAACTGGAAACTGTCCAGGTGCCTTTTAACAAGAGAACAGCTAAACAAACGTGGTGTCTCCTTGATATGGCATACTACTCAGTGATTAAAAGGAATAAACCATGGTACACACACAGCAGGGGCGGAGCTCAAAAACATGATGCTGGGAGAAAAGAGCCTTCATTGGAAACTACGTACCGTATAATTCGTTGATACGAAATTCTAGAACAGGATAAAATGTGAGAAACAGATCAGAATAATGATCATCTCTTGGGTGAGGTTTGGCTGGGAAGGAGCGGAGAGAATTTTCTGGAGTGACAGTTGTGTTCTGCATCCTGAGACGGGCTCAGCTGACACTGGTGCATGCATTTGCCAACACTCAAAAAGAACACTGAGAGGTACTCTTGAGATGTGTGCAATTCATTATATGTAAATTTGACCTCAAAAGGAAAGGAATTGTAAATAAATACTGAACTCTAAATAGAGGGTTTAGGTGTAAACTGTACAGGTGTCTGCAGCTCACTTTGGAAGTCATCAAATAAATGAGGCTGTGTGTCTGCATCGAGAGGGATGAATGGAGGGTAGGGGAAGATATGATAAAGCAAACATGGTTGCATTTATTTATTTATTTATTTATTTATTTATTTTATTTTGAGACAGAGTCTCGCTCTGTCGCCCAGGCTGGAGTGCAGTGGCACGATCTCAGCTCACTGTAACCTCTGCCTCCCAGGTGCAAGCAATTCTCGTGCCTCAGCCTCCTGCGTAGCTGGGATTACAGGCGCCCCCACCACACCTGACTAATGTTTACATTTTTAGTAGAGACAGGGTTTCACCATGTTGGTCAGGCTGATCTCAAACTCCTTCGCTCAAGCAATCTGCCTGCCTCAGCCTCCGAAAGTGCTGAGATTACAGGCATGAGCCACCGCGCCCAACCCGTGTTCACATTTTAATTGTGGAAGCCAGGTAATAGGTATACGGGTGTTTGCCTTAAAGTTTTTCACACTTTCCTGCATGTTGGGAAATGTTCACAATCAAATGTTGGGGGAAGAAAACATGAGGCTGTAGAACTAAGCTGGGGCTTATCTCTGAGCCTCATCTATAAAATGCAGACAGCACCATCCAGACAGGGGTCCCTGGGATCAAACAAGAAGCAGTGAATAAAGAGGAGCCCATGGGGAACTGGCAGGAAGTAACTTGATTCTTCTAAGCAAGCGGGGCCCCGCCTCCTCATTAGGATGTCAGCTTACATGTGACCTTCTGAGGCTGCCCTCCTCTGGTCACCCATCTCTTCTAGCCATCACCCTATGTTAATGTCTGCATGGTAGTTCTCTCTAACTGATACATCTCTTCCATCTTCCTTAATTTAAGGTATCTGTCTCCTGACAGTAGAATGTGGATTCGAGGAGAAGAGGGACATTGTCTTATTCATGGCAATATCCCTGGCACATAGTAGGGACACAGTAACTCTTTGTGGAATGAAGGAAGCAACGAGTAGGGCCCACCTAAGCTCTAGCGTAACCCTTCAAGTGCAGAATTCTGCCACCCAGAATTTGCCTATTGCCAACGCCACCCCCATAGAACAGCAGGAAGAGAACATAGAGATCAGCCATCCCCATCCCATTTAACGGATGGGGGAGCCAAGGCCCAGAGAGGGAATGCAAACTTCCCAGCATCCACTACCAGTGAGTGGCTGAGCAGAGATGGACCCAGGTCTCCTGGCTCCCAGCTCAGTGCTCTTCCTCTCCAACTGGCTGCTGGGGCTCGTGGTAAAGTGCTGATTCCCAGGAACAGCCGGCAGATGGACAGACAGGCTTCACTGGGCTGGGCTGCCCTGATGCCATGTGTTAATTACAGCAGACAGGATATGCCAACCTAGCAATGTTTGCCGGTGCACCCGCCCCTCGTTTAGCAGGTGGGCAGGCTGGCGCAGGCCGCTGATCTGCCACGGGTCTGCCGGCGGCCGATCATGCTGACACAGGCCCAATTGTGCACGGCGCCTGCTGAGTGGGGTGGGCCGGGAAGATTGGCACAGTCAGGTCCCTCCCCGAGGACTGGCAGCCCCTTCTGACTGCATTGGTCAGCCAGACTGGTATAAGCTGGGCATCTGTCCCGTGATGAGCCCTTGCTGAACACAACCTGTCTACACAGGTGTGCCCACTGACCAGCAGCCCAGGGAGGTAACACGGGGACTGAGTGCTGAGCATGACTGGGGGAGAGATTGTAGGGGGTGTCACAGGCAGGGGACTGGGGGGAGATTGTAAGGGGTGTCACAGGCAGGGGATGTGGGCCAGAGCCTCGCACACAGGTATACAGATACTGGGATCAGATAGGACTCTGCCAAGCTCCCGCCCCTAGCACCTGCCCTATTGACTGGTGGGATCCAAAAATCCAGTTTGCAGCCCTGAAAGAAGGGCTGGAAAAGTGGTCTCTTCTCTCTAACCCAATGCCTCTTCCCAGTTGCCACCAGTTCTACTATTCACACCGCAGCCAGGGGGATTTCTCTGATACCAGTGGAGCTGGTCACAATCCTGTTTGAAGCCTTCAATTGTTCCCCATTTCCCTCCAATAAAATAATAGCAATAATAATATGCATTATTATTAGCATTTTACAGCTAACAGCACTCAGTTACAGCATGTGTACTATGCGAATGACACCTCCTTTTTTTGTTGTTTTGACAGAGTCTGCCTCTGTCGCCCAGGCTGGAGTGCAGTGGCATGATCTTGGCTCACTGCAACCTCCACCTCCCAGGTTCGTTCAAGCAATTCTCCTGCCTCAGCCTCCCGAGTAGCTGGTATTACAGGTGCCCACCACCATGCCCAGCTAATTTTGTGTATTTTTTTTTTTTTTAGTAGAGACGGGGTTTCGCCATGTTGGCCAGGCTGGTCTCGAACTCCTGACCTCAGGTGATCCACCCACCTTGGCCTCCCAAGTGAAAGACATCTCCTAAGCACTTTATAGGGAAGAACCTGATTCATCCTCCACCCTAGAAGGTGGTGCTACTGCTATCCTCGTTTTACAGGTAAGGAGACTGAGACAGGGAGATAGGAGACCTCAAATTGACTTGAACTCAGAGGTCTGACTCCGGAGCCTAACCACTACCAAACCCAGACTCCACATGTGTGAGCCATGACCCTCCCACACTAGGCCCTTCCACACAGCACCCCCAGAACTTGTCCTGAATTCCCCTCACTCTCTGGCCAAGCCTTGCCTTCTTGTTGATGCCTGGGGGCCCCCATGCTCTCCTCCTGTCTGCCCCAAAGACTCTGCTTCATCCTCCAAAGCAGGGCTCAGGGTCCCCTTCTGGGCAGGGCCTGCCCTGGACCCTCCCTGGCAGAGCTCCCCGGCCCCCACGCCAGCGCCGTTTCCACTCCATGTCCCGAGCACCTGCTGCTAATGTTTCTCTCCCGACCCCAACCTCCACCTCACCCATTCTGTGGACTCCCTGATGACCCCTCTGTCCACAGGCCTGGCCCGCAGGAGGTGTTTATGAATGAACAAATGAATGAATGAATGAAGGAATGAATGAATGAACGAATGAACGAACAGGTGAGTGAATGAATGAATGAATGAATAAATGAACGAACGAACAGGTGAGTGAATGAATGAATGAATGAATGAACTGGTGAGTGAATGAATGAATGAACAGGTGAGTGAATGAATGAGAAGCTGAGGTCACTCGGGTTACAGGAATGCACACTGAGGGTGCATAGTGAAGAGTGGCTTT